GTAGAAGCTTCTATGTTCACTTAGGTGCTTAAGAAGTTTCCCAATGGCGTTGGACATACCACAGTTCAGTCTCATGTCTAGTATATTGAAGTAGTAAAGCAAGTAAGATATGAGGCCCTTTAATATAATTCCAGAAGTTGTGTAAATCGTTTCGTGATAATCTGGTACAAGAAATCTTAAGAAATGACGAAGACTTCCAGCAGTCAGAGTGGAATGATTTTATTCAAGGTGGCTGATACAATGTAGTTGTGATTAACTTTAGAACAAAAGGCCAAGGGACTTTGAGAATTTCTCTGCAGAGACTGAGCGAACAAAGGAATTTCAATACAACATTTTGAGTTCAAATAATTATTGTTTCGTTCGATTTCAAGCTCCAGACTCCAATTCCTGCACTTTAAGATGAAATTTGGTGAAATTTGGCGTCCAAAAAGGTCTGGGACGAGTGCGAAATTTTGACGGTGTTGCGTTTTTTAACAATTAAAATATTAAAATATATTATATATTTAAATATCAAGTGCAGATCGCAAGTTAGACCCTCGTTTGGTGGTTATCGTTATTCTTATAACCAGGCTAGTGGCTTCTTGACGATAACATAAAGTGAGATATTAGACCGGCTGTTGTTGTTGTCTCTTTTCTCTCCCACTATTCCCCTTCTCATTCACGCGAATCACGCAGAAATCACGTGATAAGGAGCTGAAAATAGTAGCTAACGTCAAATCACGAGACGCCTTGGAATGCACTTTCAGTTTCAATTCTTTTGTTTCACAAGAAGAATCTTCCGTCCTTAAAACTGTACGAAAGTTGAACTTATCGCTAGCTTGCTGAATTGTTGGCAGAGAAACTTGGAGACTTCGGAAATTGTGAGTATATATAAATTGTTGTTGATAGTTCACTTTTTTCTCAGCCGAATTTCACGTATCACAGCCATCCAAATCAGACTTCCAATTAAGATTCGCCACGGCCAATCTGAAAGGATTTAATGCCAAATCAAAGCATTACAGATTAACAAACCGAATAACTGCAGTTAAATCTTGTTCGATAATATCACTGAATAGCCAGCTGTTAGTGTTGGTTTCAATGGATATGGTAGCCCCGGCGATTGTGAGGAATCGAAAGCTGAAAATTCAACATCGCGTGAGATTCAAAGTAAACCATACTTCCGCTTTCAAAATGAAGAATACATGCAGAAATTGGTCTGATCATGAAGCATATGATGGGTGAAACGTAAAAATGAACAAAACTTCCATGGATCAGTCGCCCACGTCGTATGTTGACGTTTTTGTTTAGTTGTAGTTGACTGATCTGTCTCCTGCCAGTTGTTGTCCAAGCTATACTGTGTTTGTGCTCTATTTGTAGCCTAACAAACTTATAATTTTTAAATGAATAAAGATACCCTTTATGTGTGTGTTCGTGTTGCTTGCGAAGAAATCAACAAAAGTATGCAAAGCGGAGTAGAACGTGCTCAACATGAGCCCATTTGGTTGACCTTTAGTCGGCCAGAAAAATCTCTACAAACAAAACTCTGGCACCCAGTTTAATCATTTAGAATTATAGATTTTCACTTCGCTATTCGGGGTTGACGGTGGTGAGGCGAAATTTTGGAAACCAGGCTTTCCGGTTGACTGTGCACCCAAGTTCGGCACCAAACAAATCGAGCACTTAGCTGTTTTCGGGGCTTAAAGAATGACCTCTGTTGGTTTAGTTTTTGTGAGAGAATAAAAACAAGTTTTGTTTTTTTAGTGAAAACTGATGTGAATCCGGTGTTCCGCTATTTTCAGCCAAAGCTGTTCTCCTTCACTTTAATGTATTTGAATAATGTCACTTAGCGATTTTATGTACTTTTTTCGATTCTACTCGGAGTTAGCCTCCCAAGCAGACACTGTTAGGGCTCGTCACGCATTCCTTCCCCACGAACGGCGAAGAAATGCGTGACGAGCCCTAGGAGCGTCGTCTGCGTGGGAGGCTAACTCCGAGCACGACCCCGAAAACTTGACTGCCATTTAAACAGATTAAAGGATAAATCCCATATTATACAAGGGATCAGGTACTTCCAATCTTTTCCCGTCCTTACTATAAAGCTGATTTCTCGATCTGAATCTTATCACTAGGGATTTACGTATCCCAAATATTTCACTCTCCTTTCCTTCGGAGAACCGATTAAAAAATTTATTTCCTTTCTTAAAAAAAGAAATGTTTTTAGTCTAAGTAACCTAGCTGTTTATTATTATTATTATTATTTTTTTTTTTTTTTCTGTCGGTCGATTGTATTTTTGAGACTTTTGCGGAGATTCCGAAGAATCTCAGTTTCTCTTATTTCTAAAAGCAATTTTTAAACCTAAGGTTTGGTATCTTCGCTTATGTTGCTTCCATTTCGGTATTATTGTTTGCCGAACAGACGCCCTTGTCTCGATCATTCTTCTCTCTAGCTGCCTCAACTTATGTTTTGCATCCAGACGTTTCAGACGTTGTTTGTACGTGTAATAAATATTAAAGGTGGCCAGACATGAGGGGTCATGTTGCAGCGACATGTTGCAGGAGGGGGACATTGGGCTTTGCGGTATCGCGGTATTCGACACTTTTTCTTGGGCTATTTCGGTAATTATAAGTATTGCGGTGTTCTCCGAGCCTGCGGGATGCGGTTTTGTAACATTTTGGACGATATTAAAAATTATCTCCCAACTCCGTCAGCGTTTTCCGATGCCTTTTCCAGTTTCCCGTTGACAAAGAGTAAGTTATTTTTTGTTATTAATTAGCCAACACGCCAATGGATGTTACTTATTTTGCTTATTTTGCCTAAATCGAAAATTAGAAATTCCTATTTGCTATTTCCGTGTTATTTGCTCTGAACTTGACAGAGTAATGGTTTCGGTATGACATTGAATTTTTACCCGGCCGATTGAAGTGTTGTGATAATGCGGTATTTGCCGAATTCTTTTTGCGGTATTGCGGTGTTCATATCCCCCAATATCCCCCTCTTGCAGCGACAAAAATCTTGTGTAATGCACACTTAGGCGACATGTAGCAGAAACTTGTAGCGGAGACATGTAGCAGGGACAAAATCACAAGATTTGCACACACATGAAAATGTTGCGGGTACATGTTCCACCAATTTGGGGGATATTTTGTCCCTGCTACATGTCGCAAAAAGTTCAGCTTGTTGAACTTCATGGAACACGTCGCGGGGTCAAAANCTCCAAACGAATTTTTTGATGTTTATATTATTAATAAGTTATCATACGGTTTTTCTCATTCAATTTGGAATTGATTTGCACTTGTGAGTTTTTTAAAAAGATGAAATTGCACTCGACGAAGCGGCTCGTGCAATTTCAGCTTTTTGAAAAACCCACTCGTGCAAATTAATTCCAAATTGAACTCGAAACCGCATGATTACCTATACTACTACTAATAAATAAGCATATTTATGTAGGATGACCATTTCAGTTATAAAAACTGCTGTCAACATGGGTCCTGCGTAAAGTAAATAAATACATAATTAATAAAATAAAATACGAAATATGCAAAAATCCAAAAAGCTATATAAAATCTAAAAATAGACATAAAAAGAGAGAGAAAAAGACTAGATCTAGATTCAAATAAAATTATTAAAGATATCTGCCCCTTTATAAAAAATGCGCTTTTAGTCGATTCTAATAACTAATTTGTTCTTATTCTTAATTTCATAATCATGAGACACTTCAAAATATTTCCATTTTTTATTTTCTATTTTTACTTACTAAAGAAAGTTTGAGTGGAGCCTGAGGCTCTGCTCTCAACACTCAACAGGAACTATACACTCTAGCTATTCATTCCCTGACGCTTTCGCTAAAACTCACAAAATTAACAGTGTGTTAAGAATATTTATCTCAATGAATCTGCAGTTCTACGTGACACCCGCTTCGACTTCTCATATTGCTGCTGCCTTCGATCGAGACCACGATCAGGACAGTGGTATACACGCGATGCTTGTGAAACTAAAGCAGCTACTGAACGTCTATCATCAAATGGACAATGAGGCACACAGATATCCCTGGCCCAGTCCTCCCACGGGCAAATTCACCACTGAAGAATTTCAAAAGCTAAGAGACTGTAGATATCTACGGCTAACAAAGAGTAACATCGAGAGCTTGCAACAATTACAGAAGAACGTCGAGGAACAGAATCGATACAAAGAGAGGCAAACTTGTCAGAAAACTGATTCGATATTACTTGAAGTTCAACGAACAACAGAGAACCTAGCTACAAAGTAACGATAGTTTTGTGGTAAACAAGACAGAAGATTCAGATAAGTTTTTATAGATACAGCTGTTTGCAACAAGACGTCTCACCTCAGATTACACTTATCAAGACAGTATACATTCTTGCCGTTACAATATTTCGTTTACTCTTGTCATGGTGAAAATTCATGGAAATCAGAAATGTCTTTAAATTAAAAAATCTACCTATCTTTCTCAAATAAGTCATTATTTAATTAGTTCATTGAAGTCGCAAATAAGATGTATGGTTGTTTTCTTTCTTCTTTGTCTATTTCGAATGGAAACGGGCAATTACGTCAGTCCATACGGCTGTCTTCTTGAATGTGTCTGTTTCCCTCAAAGAAATAATTGTATCTGAAAAGTAGAAGTTCGGAACACATTCAATTTATAATTCACTCGAACAAACGAACGAATGAACGTATGTACGTACGTACGTAGGTACGAACGAACGAACGAATGACAGTATGTACGTACGTACGTACGTACGAACGAACGAACGAACGAACGAACGAACGAACGAACGAACGAACGAACGAACGAACGAACGAACGAACGTATGCACGTATGTACGTACAAACGAACGAACGAACGAACGTACGTACGTACGAATGAATTGGAAAACCCACATATAATTAATAGGACTTGTGAGCTCATCACATCACATCACCTTGTATAAGCGCTTGTTGTACACGGTTAGTGTTAATCTTGTGCTCCTCTCTTAATGACAACAGCCAGTCTAGAACCTACGAGGTATAGAGGAATTCACAGTAAGGAAAGAATCATTACATTAACGGCGTTTCGAAAGGAGCGGGTTACTTTCATGAAAAGCAAATTTACAAAAGTGTGTTCAGTACAACACCTCCAGATCAGAAAGACAAATTTCGCTGTACCTTTCCCGTGATTTGAGTCCAGGGCTCCTGCTTAACCAAAGTGGACAATGTCAGCGGTAGTAGCCATAGAAAACTCTCAAGCGATCCACATTGTTCGGCTGTGAGTTGAAACGAGGGCTCAGTCGTAGATAACTGTCCAATTCCTTGAAGTATGGGCACGTCACACCAAGCAGCACATACCATTGACAGCAACGTCAAACAATTCACTAAGATCTGAAATACATTAACAATTTATTTATTCTCAGCTCCAAAGGATGAATAATAACAGTGTAATAAGAAAAGTTTCTAAATTTAGCAAGTACCTTGTGTTGAGAGCTTGAATGCTGAAGAGCTTCCTTAAACTGACCAATGAGTTCCAAGAACCAGTGTTGTTTCTCAGCACATTTAATCTTGGCGCCCGAATCAATCATGGCTCGAACTACGCAGCACAACAATTCATTGTACTTTGTTTCTGTAACACAATGTAATTGTTAACTTTTCAGTAATGTTTTCGCGTTCGATTTGTCAGCACAATGCAATGGAAAAGCGAAAGATAAGTGCAAACGGTAACTTTCTTCATCAATTAATTAATGCATTCAAATACTATCGAAAACATGAATCAAACAATGTTATTTGACTTGTAGGTGGTGTCCTCCGAGGCTTCAGACATAATTTAGCCCCTAGCAAACGAAAATTACCGTTCGAACTAAAAACAGACTTACTCCCGGTGAAACTGTACATCCCTGCACGATGTTTAACTCATCAGTCATGAGATGTCAGGCGGCATGGTTTTGAAGTCGTCTTAGCAATGCGGAAAAGGGCGAGAGTCAGGAGACAAAGGTGCGAGGGACGAAAGAGCAGGGTACGGGAAGACAGAGATTCTAAGCCCCCACCTCCCACCTCCCACCTCACCCCCTCCAACAATCTACCGACTCAGTTAGCATTTGTGACAGATAAAACAATGAATGTAACAGTGAATATTGTAACATCACAAAATCATTCGTTACTGCGTATGACTCCAGGACAACTTAAGTAAAGCAAAGTTTTCTTACCACTGATATCAGTTTTTAACATGTCATCAATACAAGGAGCAAGCCATTTCACCGGCGCTTTGCCATCACCAACTACCTGGCAACGCACAACTAAAGATTTCGTGGAAACACTCTGCAAGATAGTGGCACGACAATGAGATCTCAACCAAACGGACTGAGGATTCTAGAAGATCAATTATTTCCTCTCCTCCTGTTGAATCACGCCCACGTATGTTGGTTGATGACTTACTGACTATCGTCGCAAATTTCCTCAACAAAGTTTTGAAAAGAGGCTATAAGTTGTTTATTTCTGGGAAATAAACGGGTTAAGGTAACAGCACCATAGTCCAACCATACTAAAAGGCTTACTATCAGTCATGATATTATCAATAAATATCTCTGTAGTCACTTTGTCATTCTCAGAACCCCTGGAAACTACTAGGTTACGCGTATTTTAACTGGCTTCCATGGTCATTTCATTGCAGGAGTCTGCCTAAAGGTGGCCAGACACGAGGGGTCATGTTGCAGGGACATGTCGCAGCGACAAAAACGTGTGTAGTACACACTGATGGGACATGTAACAGGGACGCGTAGTGGGGACATGTAGCAGGGACAAAATCACAACATTTGCACACACGTGAAAATGTTGCGGGAACATGTCCCAGGGATGTGTTGCAGCGACATGTCCCCTCGTGTGAACTGACTGACCGCATGGTGCCTGTTTTGGTAATGCCCAGCATGCTTTGAGGCACTGCATCGTTGAAGTAAAATGGCGGCCATCGAAGTAAAATCGGTTGAGGATGATTCTCCAGCTAAAAATCCTGAAGACAGCGGTCATATTTCTTGGAATAATAGCCAGACACGTATGCTGATTGCTCGTTTCAAGGATAATCCATTTGTATGGGACAAGCAAATAAAAGACAATGCTAACAGACAGAAAACTAAAGAGGCAATGGCACCTTTGTTAGCACGATTTGAGAATGCACACCCACTAAGAAACCTAGCGGCGATCAAATCGAGGTGGCACAGCTTAAGGAGTTCGGTATTGAGATACATGAAAAAGCAAAAAGAATCATTCCAGTCAAAAGCAGCGCGAGCACCGCTACTGATGGCTGCCATCTTGTTTTTCCCTATGCACGAGCACAAAGAATTCTGGTCGTTGTCTCTGATTGGCTCAACTTTTGATTCTGTAGCAGGGACATGTTGCATAGGTAGGTAAAGTCTGCATGCGAGCCAAGTGGCCCACCAGGCCGGAGCTTATCCCGGTTTCTGTGGCATGAAGCGACTCGGAGAATTTCTACTCCCCCCTGGATGGGATGCTAGTCCATCGCAGGGTTANGACCGCTCGATCCGGAGACGAGCGCACTAACCATGAGGCCACCGCGCCTCCCACTAGGGACATGTTGCATAACCGTACACAAGTTTCATGGTATCCTTGCAACGTTTTGTCCCCGCGACGTGTCCCATGAAGTTCAACGAGTTGAACTTTTTGCGACACGTCGCGGGGACAAAATATCTCCCAAATTAGTGTTGCTCAAGTAAAAAAGTATCAGTTTACACGAGGGGACATGTCGCTGCAACACATCCCTAGGACACGTACCCGCAACATTTTCATGTGTGTGCAAGTGTCGTGATTTTGTCTCTGCTACATGTCCCCGCTACATGTCCCTGCTACATGTTCCCTCAGTGTGCGCTACACAAGTTTTTTGTCGCTGCAACATGTCGCTGCAACATGTCCCTACAACACGACTCCTCGTGTCTGGCCACCTTAAGAGGCTATTACAGGTACTAAATAACATTGTTTAAGAAATTCTTAACAATGCTGGCTGAAACTCACTTGTGTGTCCCGCAAAATACTTTCTAGTTTTTCAACAGGGATCAGTGCTAAACAGCGAGCAAGCAATCTCAAACAATTATCCTGATGGACGAATAAAAAAATACAAAACCATTTAATACATCATTGCAGCATCACTGTAGCAAAAGGACATATATGAATCTGTACCTCAGTGTTCTCATTGCAAGCATTATACATTTGCTCAAGTGCTGTTATAGTCCATCCGATTACTGAGGCGGGAGGATCTTTTAAATTTAGGACTGAGATATGAGCTTCAAGTATGGCCCTCCACAGGGAACGGTCCTAGTTAAACAAACCAATGAATGGTCTTAAAATCAATTCTTAAACAGATACCAAACTGGTTTTAGGAATATGTAATATGAAGAACCCACGTGAAATAAATTTGAAAACCAAGCTTTTAGTGATTTTTCAATAACTCTCCAGCTGAAGGGGAACGGTAGAAAAAGACATATTTTCAGGGTATTTGTTACGAAATTATTGGTGATGAGACGACCAGAATTTAACTGGGTCATCAAGTTGATCTCAGTAAATTAATAACATAGTATACCTAACAGGAACTAAGTTTAACGAATCACTGTTCCGCGAAAAGAGCAAGTGTTTGATTTTTTGTTCTTAGGCTCACTGTTTGTAATATTTTAATAACTCCTGCCCCCCTCCCCTCCAAAACAAAGCCATAGGGAAGAGAAGTCAAGGGCCCAATACTCATCCCCTCTCCTCTCGGGGACGCTGCAGAAAGCGATGAATTTCAAAGAGGGTATGTAAAGATGCATGCGTGACTGTTGTATCATGTGAAACTGACCTTGCCATTTCTCCATGGCTCTGATAGCGTTCCTTCGTAAAACTCTCTCAACTTGGGGGAGGAAATGACATATACCAGTCTTGACAAATTCTCCAGCAATTCTCTTTTGCACAAATCCTAAATCACGTCAATTAATCCATTAAGGACGTTAATATATCACAATGAAACTAAGCAATAGGCAACGCAAGCTCCAGGCATTATCTAGTTCGACCCTCTGTAAATAAAGAGTTTGTTGTTGGTCTCCTTCCTGCATGCATTGAGTTATTTGTGTTGGGTGGTCTCCAACAACAACTAAGTTAAGCTAACTACCAGTAAACTAATAAGTTCTTGCATTACAAAACAGTACTTTTATCCAAAGCAACTCCCACACACTTTGTAAATAGCCAACTAATCAGCCCCTGCTAGTTCAGAAGTACGCTAAGTTTGTTTCATATTTGTTTCAGATACACGGCCCACAAGCTTGTAGGCATAAACATAACCGCGTTACTTCGTCTCTGATCATATCTATTCACAACCGGTCAGTAAATTCAATAAGTTCTTCTACTGAATTCTGGTAACCTACATTGATATGGTAAACACCAGACTGACAGTTTCCATTCCTTGTTAGTTTGGGATATACATCATATATATTTAGAACTATTCACCTCAATTCAACAAACCAATAATGTCAGTTAGAAAAAATTCTACACTCACCCCCAGGCCTATGAATACTGCCCGACTTAACAGGGAGGAGAGGTACGAGGACAGACTGGAAGAGGACTGGGCTTGATTCAATGCAAGTCTGATGCATAACTGACCTGCCTCCTCCCCTAGTCAGGGCAAAAAACAGTGTTTAGATAACTGCACTGGGTGGTAATAATAGCAAAAGAATAATAAAATATTTGTTTGTAGCGGCCCCAGTAACCTCAATGTTCAAGGGTGCTTCCATACAAACTGGAACAATTAAGATTCTTAATTCAGTTGTAAAATCAGATGGAAATTATGAGACATAAAACATTTGGAAAAAAACGTGAGTGCGAAATCATAAAAATGACATTGAAAACAGTTATAAAAATGCGTTATGTAAGGGAGAGTAATGCAAATGAAACAAAGGAGGAGGGAGAAAAACACTGTAGAACTAGCTTCTTGTATTTCTTTCCTTATTTTAAACAGAAGAAACACGATTTCTTCTGGTGAGGAAAAAGATACAATAAACATTTTGGTTCACTAACTGAAATTAGCTCTCATGATTGGTCCAAGAACTGATACCCAGTTCACTGGCGGTAGCGCTACTTGAGGTCCGCTGACAAGCGACTCCAGTACTACAGGCACTATCTTTCCTGAGAAGCTCAAATGAGGACCTAAGAATGAGAAACGAGCAGGTTATAACACTATCTAAACAATACTGAAGCTACTGCTTTTTACCGTCTCGTTAGCTAACAAACTCGAGAAGGAATAAGTGAAGCGAATCGCTTTTTACCTCTTGTATGCCCACAAGCCGGTAGATGAGTCACCTTAGATACGTTTGTCATGCACGCAAACAAAGTTGAGTTTCTAACGTTGACGATACCAAATAAAAATACAATTTCACAACAAGAGACAATAACTAAAAGTTATGACCCTGAAGTCAACAAACCTGTCTTTCCAGCCTTATCAAGGAAATCAAACAGCAGTCTTAAAATGCTACCTTCCGACAAGTAGCTATAGTTTGAGGGAACTGAGGGAAGAACAAAATAATAATTTACAGTGTTAATAAGAATAGCGTACAGCGAGCAAGTAGCTTCTTTCCTTACTCGTACAGTCTTTTACGAAAAAGGCTCTGATACATGACTGAATGATAGTACAGAACACGTTTCATGGAAAGCGGCATAGAGGGCAACAACACAAAGCTTTGCACAAAATAGCCACCTGTTTTTCTCCAGCAATTTTTCATACTCACCACTTGTCTTAGTTACCGCACTGGACGTGGAAGCCGTGTAAAGATGACCGAGCAGCCAGGCACTGTTGGAACTTAAACCCACATGTTCAGGAGCTGACACGATCTTTCAAATAAAGAAATAAACTTTTACTTCGTGGTATTTAGTTAACAAAAAAGTGAAGCCACGACAACCACAGCGACGAGAACGTTAACAAAGAAAAAAATGGCAATGCACGTAAAAATGGCAATGCACGAACGTTATAAACCAACGTAAAACCACCAAATTCTGCATTTTATGGAGAACGTGAACCATGAGATATGTGAGTTATCAAAAGTTCTATTTGGAACTGAGCGCTGTCTTTTCATGCTGAGCTGAGGATAGTTCTAACACCAATAGAGACACTAAATGGATCTAAATATAAATAGAGGTGAAATTGTTAACTAGAATGTGACTGATTAGCTTTTCAATTGTTTTGCAAACTTCCCAATGCACACAGGATGACGAGGTCTTGTCTGTCGCCACTTATTTCCTTGCCGATGATTTCAAAAGAAACTTTATCATATGAGCTGTGCGGCCCCGCGCGCTACTTCCTTGGAAAACCACAAGAAAAATGGTCCCGTATTTGGGCTGTACGCGTCGAAGTGATACACGTAGGGTCGAGAAAACTGACAGGACGCACGGACCTCGCTGCGCTCAGTCCGTACGTCATGACCTCGAGCCAGCTATTTTCTCCTCCGGCCCTCCCAGTCAGCTTATAAGTCGTTCTTTTCTAGGAAATCAGCGCCATAGTACAAACACTAACAGGCTTACTATAAGCTATGGTGTTATTAACGAAGAAGTAAATTAAGTTTCACGTTGTGATAAGTATTTAGTGACAAAATAAAACGACCTTAAAACCTAATACCTCCTACCTGCTGGAGATATTTGATGATGCTACCTCCGGTCGACGAGAAAACGTTTACAGAAGAGGAAGAATCAACCTATAAAGTAACACAACACAACTGGTATTACGACAAATTGCATGATAAAACCATTAACAACACTGTCAACAAAATATAGTTATGAAGCGCTTCATAGAAGACATGATTGTGGTTCCTACGATAGTTTCTAAGGAGAATTTAGGCTCCGTGGCGCATTAAGTCTTTAAGCTTTTTGTTTCTCTTATTTCCGTATAATGAAGTTCTTTGATGTTTGGTTTTATGATTAGACCAATCGGTGAATGTCGAGGGGTACTTTCTAAGTCAAATGGTTTAATTATTGTTTAGTTAAGACTCATTCGAGCTTTAAACTTGGCTTAACAGTTGACTCGTATTTAGTAAGCTGACAGATGACAGGCTTGAAGATGCTGCTAGTAACCACGGATTCGTTAATCATGAAACAAACATCCATCCCTCAAAATGAAGAAAACGTTTTCTAACATGAAAACTGACACAGCTGTGTCCACAAAGGCTGTCCCACAAGACAACAATGCCGATTGGTATTATGGGTAATGATAGTTTATCGTTGCTTGGGTGAGGTTCACAGTGTTTCAGCAAGAAGGAAGAAGAAAGCATGAATACACGTGTTTATGCTGTTTCCTCCTCAACACCTTGAGCTCCAATCAAGTAACTGTGAACCACCATTACCCTTAATCAGTGCCTTTGGACATTGTCGCATAGGCTTATACGCTTTTGTAGGACAACGTTTCTCAAAACAGCTCAGTGTATAGAGTGGTTTTCAATTGAGTCTCGTAAAACCAAAACCAAATCAATTACTTACCAATTAAACTACTCAGCCAATCTCAAACCGTAGTAAAACCAAAACCAAAACCAAAGTAATTGCCTGATAACTTTCGACATAATTGAAAACCACTCCGAGATAGGTGTCTGTGTGTTAGTTGTAAGGCCTGTTTAAAACCTTCTCTTTTTGGTGTCGTGGAGAAACTTACTATAAACAAGCCTTGCTCTGATCCCAGCAGTCCCATGATTCCGTTCAGAGCTGACAGTTTCTGAAGTTCGGAAGCGTCCTTTGTGCAAAAGATATGATGTAACTTAATATACTATCTCTCCAGTTATACCACACATCAACAATACTGGTTATCGAAAAAACAGCTAGTTGCCTGAAGTGAAACACGTGCCTTAGTTTTGCGCCTTCAATTTAACAAATTGACGTCAGTTTTTCATGCGTCTGTCCTGTTAGGGACCGTTCATTTTTTATAAGGTAGGGGGGGCTGGTGGGATTTGGGGGGGGGCCATGCGAAAAAAAATGGCTTTCGAGGGGGGGCCATCCCA